TGGCAGGTACCCGCATTAATAGTCTCCAAATCCTCCAATAAAAATAAAGACATGAAACAGGTGCATAGGGGTATACTTACTCGAGAAGGGCCATGCAGCATTAGCGTGTATTTTGTGAGTACATGGCTTGTGAAACTCCCTCCACGACCAAACTAATACTAGGTCTAGTCTTACTAATCTCTTTCCTCTACCTTATAATCAACTACTACTCTGCAATTAAGACTTCACACTTACTCGCCATTTTTAATTTGAGTGCAACCAATTCCCTCTTGCCATGCAAGGATCCCGATGCAAGGGAAAATTTCAAAAGGGCCAAAACGCTGTTGCAAGGTAAGCACAACACCTCCCTCTCAGAAATCGATCAAATCGCCACAATGGAAATCGCGCGTTATGATTGCTCCTACCAGGACCCTGCCGAACCGAAAATCATCATCGTTGTTCCTTATAGACATCGTGAATTGGACCTCCTGTCGTTTATTCTCCACATGGTTCCCTATTTTCGCCACCTTGTTAGGCAAATGGAAATACTCGTAGCTGAACAAAATGGAACAGGGGTGATCAGACTGGAAGAACGGAAGACGTTCAAGCCTGGAGACGGCAGTCAGCTGTCCTAATACAAGCCATCTTACAAGATAAACGGACTTCCTTCGACAACCTCATCTCAAATATCAACCATCAAAGTGATAGCCAACGCACCCAATTCCTGGGTAACCTCCAAAACAACAGAGAAAGACCCACGATGTCCTGGGTAAGCTAAACAACACAGAAAGACCCAAGAAAGAACCAATACGCTTATGGGAGACCCAAGAAAGAACCAATACGCTTAAACAGCAAATTGTAAGACCCAAGAAAGAATCAATATGCTTAAAATCAAATTGCTTAAATTCCTGGGTAACCTCCAAAACAACAGGGAAAGACCCAAGAAATTACCAATGCGCTTAAGCAAGGAACTGCTTACCACCGACTCCGAAATAGCTTACTCCTTTGAGAGGTTCTATTCCCACAAGCAAAATAAAAACTCTTTTGTCAGAAAATCTTCAAGGGATTTAAAGATACAAGTAAGTCAGTTTGGTGAAATTAAGGAAGACATAGCAACACCGAATAATGTACCTACTAAACCATTCAGACCTTGCAAACTTAATACTGCGATAAAACAACCAAAGTGCAAAAAGTCTCCTGACGAAGATGGTATTCATCCGGAATTTCTAATTAGAATGGGTCCAAATGCAAAGTTAACCATGCTGACGCTTTTCATTAAAATCTGGGGGACATGTCTCGAACCTAGCCAATGGAAAGTTGCCATAGTAATACCAGTACTAAAAAAGAGCAAAGACGTTAGCAGCTTTAACAAATATAGGCCTATCTCCCTCACAAGCGTTCTGGCTAAACTTATAGAAAGAATGATTAACAGGAGGCTGACCTGGTTCCTTGAAACCAATAACATTCTCAGGAGTGAACAAGCAGGTTTTAGGACGCAAAGGTCAACTAACCAACAAGTGGCCACTTTCTCCCAACATATCAAAGATGCCCTTGATGCAAGAAATACTCTTACTGCTGTATTCGTCAATTTCAAATCAGCATATGACTTAGTATGGAAAGAGAAGCTAATTCTAAAATTGCAAAGTTTGGTGTTAAGCATAACATGCTAAACTGGATTAAAGCATTCATTGGAAAAAGATCATGTAAAGTTAGATATGGAAATGCACTCTTTTCAATGTCTTCATCAATGACATAGCCGAACTCATCATTGACATAGCCGAATTGGTACAGACAGTCACGGGCGTGGAGTGCTTACTTTATGCAGATGATCTTGTTCTAGGGTATTCAGGGTGAGGTCTTCTTTTACTTCTTTTTCTTTTCAAGTGCTTACTTTATGCAGACGATCTTGTTCTATGGTATTTTGCTTACTTTATGCAGATGATCTGGTACTATGGTATTCCGGGCTTACTTTATGCAGATGATCTTGTTCTATGGTATTCCGCCTACTTTACGCAGATGATCTGGTACTATGGTATTCCGCCCCCAAGGAAAAAAGCTAAGGAGAGGACAGAAAGTGTCCTAAATTGTGCACTTACAGGAGTGGACGGAAAGTGCCCTAAATGGTTTACTTAAACTACTATCAAACTGGTGCGACAACAATGGAATGGTAATCAACACCGCGAAAACTGCATTCAAACTTTTTCTTTGGCCCGTCACAACATAAACCCGCTTCTAAGGTACAAGGATA